TTTATATATTAGAAGATACATATGTACATGTGTATGTATATCGCACACTTCTTTCTTTCTGGAATTTCCTCTATTAAGTTTCACTTCTTCCGCGCGTAGGGACTACACGCCCTGAACTTTTTAACATTAGAGTACACGCGCGACCTACTATAGCAGACCACGGCAACATTTTTGTTGATACCTTGACAGTTTTGTATGTTAGAGGGGTGCGGTTCCAGGAAAGCCTTCAGCATTAATTTGTCAACGAGTACCGGGCGTGACTTCCACGCGTATATACTTTTTTGTGGATTGGCGCAAAAATCGCGGGCCTACCATAGTTGCATACTTATTTATAGCGCGTATTTCTGAATTTCGAGTGCATATTATATGCGCATATATTCGATTTTTTTTATTTTATTTAATTACTGAGTAGAAAAACACATAAAATAATTTTGACCGGTTGTACTATACCAATACTCCTCTGTGCGAAGTTTGAAATGTGGATTTATGTGGTGCTGACTAAGTGCTGAACTTTTATAAAAAAACTAGCAGACCCGGCGAACTTCGTCCCGCCCAAAATAACTTTTTTGGTTTGAAACATTTTGGTCCAACATTTTCACCAACAGTTCACGTTCATGATTTTCAGTGACGCATTTATCTTCTAATATTACGGTTTGGTGGTTGTCAGAAGGCATATTTCCATTGCCGTCTTAAATAACCTAGCAAAACTGTACATGCATACAAAGATACGTAATAGTTTCAGTGCGTTTGAGAGTAAGAGTATGGGATTGATTTCATATACCTCCATACCATTTTCGAGTAATCTACCATGGGAGGCGCCACGCCCCTTTTTCCAATAGCCCCAATTTCTCTTCATGACCACGCGACTGATTTTATATATCTTGTACATACCAAGTTCCAGTACTCTTCCATGAACACATCCAGAGATATGCAGTATGAAGAATTCGATGTGTATGGGGAGTGCCACGCCTCCTTTTCCGATAACCACAGTTTATCTCCATGAGTATGCGATTGCTTTCATATACCTTCATACCATGTTAGAGACCTCTTCCATGAACATTTTCCGGGGTGTGCAGTATGAAAAATTCGTTTTGTATGCGAGGTGCCACGCCCCTTTTTCCAATAACCGCAATTTTTCTCCATAAGTATGCAATTGTTTTCATATATCTCTATACCATATTCGAGTAGTCTACCGTGAACACTTTCAGAGATATGGAATATGAAAAATTCGGTTTGTATGGGAGGTGCCACGCCCCCTGCACCTAGCGGTATGAAATATACTTTACATCCGATTCTCATACCTACCATATATACACAACAAATTTCATAAAGATCGGTCGAGCTGTTTAGGAGGAGTTCGACCACTAACACCGTGACACGAGATTTTTATATATTAGATATAAACATTAAATAAACAAAAGAAAAATAACCAAAACTAGTCAAAATGTCACTTGACTTAATCAGCTGACAAGTGTACATGATACATACATGTGAACATACATACCTCAGAAAATAAAACCTGGGAAAAGTGAACTATGTTCCATTTTGTCAGTTTATTAGTAATATAATTAGGACCAGAAACTAGGAGCAAGGTAAAGAAAAAATCTTAAAACATTCGTGTTAGTATGTACATATGTATGTACACTGCCGGAACAAAGTATTGGCACAGCAAATTTTTCACAATATATGCAACAATTTTCATTCTAATATTTTTCCGCTAATTTCGTATAAAAATATGGTTCATTCTACAAAAAAAAAATATATAAATAGAATTCCTAAACTTTGTGCAAAACTCGCGAAAATTCAGCAAATTTCAATGAAAATTATCAACTTTTTAATCACATTTTTTTTAGTATGCAGATTTGTAGCTCAATCAATTTTATTATAATAAAGAGCAAGTTTTAAGTAGCTAGGAATTACTGTTGATTTTTGGCAATTTTTTTCACGCAGTCTCTTCTATACAAAAATTTTTTTTTTCCAAAATACTTTATATGGAAAAAATGCAAAACACCTTAAACAAAAAAAAATTCTCAAAAATCAACGCGAGTTTTGACTAACTCCGTACTTGCATTTTTTTTACTAGAACTTAATGGGCTGCAAAACTGCATACTCAAATACACTCTAAAAAATCTTATAAAAAGTTGAAAATTTTGATGAAAATTTGCTGAATTTTCGCGAGTTTTGCACAAAGTTTAGGAATTATACTTTTATGTTTTTTGTTGTTGAATGAATCTTATTTTTACAAAATTGGCGTTAAATGTTAGAATAAAAATTGTTGCATATATTGTGAATAATTTGCTGTGCCAATATTTTGTTCCGGCAGTGTATGTACCTTTGCATATTGCACAAAATATTAATTCACTAATGTATCAGGCTTAACTAATGACATATTCGAAAACTGATTACTGAAGAAATATTTTAATGTACATACTTCTGTACATTTGTATGTATGTATATCCTAATCCAAATTGTTTTATTAGGTCACGAGTTTGAACAGCTCTTAAAATTTATTTTAATTTGATACAAGGCGTATATGAATACGCCTTAATTTTATATGTATGCGTCAAACGATTTATAAAATTCAGAACAACTTCTCCCAATTCTGGGTTACAAAGTTGTTCGTCATAAAGGCAATGAATGCCAAACTCGTTTTAGCATATGCACTGTAGATGTTATGGTATTAATAATAGGGGTTGTCAGTGCAACTATTGTTGATGAATGTGTCTGCGGTGTCCAAGCGCACAGAAAGTGTTTTTTCATCTAAAATACTTTCTGCAGCATAACAAAATGCTTGGACACGCTACCGTGATCATCCGCCACCAGGTATATTACAATCCATTGACGTATTCACTACACGTCCAATTCGACGATTCGGGCGCAGTCCTTGATTGAAGCCACCTCCGCCACTGCCACCGCCGCGTCCACCTCCGCCACCTGGACCACCACCGCCGCCAGAGCCCCACCCACCCCGACGATTATTGCTACTACCGTTTTGATTATCATTGTTCATGAAGGGTGCCATTAGTGTTTTAAAGCTGCAATTTTACAAAAATTACTTGAATATCCGCATATATCAGACAATTTCAAAGTCCACTTACAAGGCGACTACTACAAACCAAAGGCTTATGAAAATCTCTAAAACGCGGGCAACACTCCATGGCCGCCGCTCCAAAACACGTCCATCTGTTGGACGAGAACAGGTAAGATATTTTCTTCACTACTAAAATTAATTATCATTCTTACCTCGATCTATGTACACCATTCTGTGACGGTGTCACAGTATCTATATTTTTAAGCAGTAACTAGTAAGTTCAAGTATTATTCCGAACTTGTAAAGAAAAACAAATGCAATTTCCAAAAGATTTGTAGAAATGTCAAATCATTACGGACTAGAGATGTCGCAAAAACATCGATGCATCAAAAATTTTCCACTCGATGCATAAATAGTCGATGTATCGATGCATCGATATTTTTTGAAAACTGACATATCTAGTACATTGAACCGTCCTTCCAGTTTTTCAATTGTATAAAAAAGTGAAGTGACTCACCAAAAAATTGAAATGGCTCCAAAAAGTTCCGTTAGGAACATAGTTCACTCAGTTGCGATAATTTATTCCAAATTTTGTACAATTTGGCTAATAACATAGATGTTTTGTTGTGAAATCTTATCTGAAAAATCCTATGCAAATCGATGCATCGAAAAATATCGATGTATATTTCGATGCATAGAATTAAAGAAAAACTTCGTTGTATTTTTGTCACTGACATCCCCATTACAGACTGACGTGTTCTTTCCAATCAATCGTTTCATTTTTCCGTAACTTTCAGGGCTAGATGTCGCCCATGATGCACCACTGTGGCCAAACTCTCACTTTTCTAAGGAAGCGGCAACACTTTTTGGCAATTGACAGATTTTCAAAACCAACGAACGGCACGTGAAGC